TACCTGCACAGTTTGGGGGCAGGGGAGGGTGTAGAGGGTACCCAGGACCAAATCTTTGTTCTGTGACTTGGCCTCCCTAAGGTGTGCTTTTTGTAAGGTGAAGATGATAACGCTGCCCTTTCAGCAGAACTTCGTGGTGAAGCAGGACGACAGTGTGCTGAGTGAAGGTGCGGTGATGGCGGTCTGCAAGGCTGTGGGGTGGCAGCTTACTCTGCCGAATCTGTCAGGCCTTCCAGGCGTGACCGTCAGTCCCGAGGCTGGCAAGACAGTGCCGTCAGCTCCTGTCTGACCCCTGTGGGTCAGATAAGCATAGTGCCTCCCTTCCTACCTCCGAAGGGCAGAGGGTTGCAGTTTGGGGCAGGAAGGGCTCCCTCTTGGGAAGTGATGCCAGTCTGCCTTTGCCCAGATCCCTGGCTTCGTATCTTATCTGCCATTTAGAGTTGACAGAATTTATTTTCTCTGTCTAGAAACCAGGAAGTGTGTCCTGAACATTCAAACAGCTATTTAATGTGCTCTTAAAATTAGCTTTATTGTAAGGAAATCTATGTCTACTTTAGAAGACTGGAAATAGAAAAAAAATAAATTATTGCCAAATCCTTTGGAGAGTATTGTAATTACATAGGGTTAAAAATCAATTAATCACAAAAGTTTCTTGATTAAATCAGGCCTGTTCCCCGTTGTGTCATTCTTTATCTTTTCTACAGCATGATTTTTAGAAAGGCAGCATCTTTGATAGGCTGTGTATATTATACTGTGTGGTTTGACCGTTCCACCCTTAATTCAGGTGTGTTAAAATAAATAACATTTTAACTTTAAAAACAAACAAAAAACCCCAGCTATTTAAGAGCACCAGAGATATCATATGAGATATTCTCCTGTAAGAGAAGCCTAACATATAAATCATTTAGGTAGGTAGTAGGACACAAGGAGATTGACCTTTTGCCAATTCTCAGAGAATTGAGATGTGTTGTGTACATGTACCAGCTCCCCACAGCAAATGCAGTCATTATGTACTACAATGCATACTAATAAAAAATAAATAGAGCCAAAGAGTAGAGCCAAAAGGAGCCTGGGGGGTTGCATACGAGTCGAGGAAGGTAGGTTTTGTTGTGTATGCTGACATCCATTGAGTCCTGTGTTCAGAAGGATTCGGGCCCAGTTCCACATTAACAAGGTAGTGTCATTGACTGACCGTGTCTTCTGTGGAGTTAGGATTAGAAATTCTGTATGTAGCTTTAATCCAGCTCCCACATTTTAGAGGACGGTGTACTTCATAATTTTCTGACTCCGTTTCTGTCGCTGGGTCCACCCTTTCGCCATGTGTGATTTTGCACAGTTTCCCTTCTGCTCTGGGAGTGAGCGGGTCGCTGTAAACGTCTGTCGCTTGAATGCATCTCTCAGATCAGCATCTCTGCCTTCGAGACAGGCTGAGCGTTCAGCAGCTTCTCATCCTGCCCAGAAGGGCTGGGCCGGCGTTCTCTGTGTCTGGACTCAGGGAGGCAGGTAGTAAGGTTTTTCTTAGACTCAGCCGTTGACCCAGGCTGTGTGGGATCCCCCCGGGGCTCCCCTATACTTGCAGTAGCGCGTAGCGCTGTGCAGGTGCAGAGGGTTTCTGACGTTTTCCGGACTCTGCCCCCCAGGGGTTGCTGGTGAGTCACCTGCTATAGAAATCCACATCCTTTCTTACCCCACCCCATTCTCACTCTGAAAGCATCCAGGAAGCCTAACCACAAAGCATTTATGATTTGAGAAACCCTACACTGTCTTACGTCTGGGCCTTTGCCCATGCTTTCCCTGGGCCTCGAAGGCTGGCTGTCCTCATCCCAGGGTCTCAGCCCAGTCATTTCAGAAAGTCTTGCTTGATCCTTAGGACAAACTTGAAGTCGGCTTTGCAGGGGTTGTGATTTCGGGGTCCTGCACACAGTAGGCGCTCGGTAGGGAGTGGTTTGTGGCCCACTTGACTGCCTTGCCGAGCCAGTCTTGCTGACAGGGACCTGGAAGAGTCTTGGGTCATGTTTGAAACTGTTCAAAACCCACAGCCAGGCAGATCGATGAAGTTAACTGTGCTTGCTGCTGAGATCCTGAAACAAATTGAGCCTCGGCTTTTCATGAGAAAGAAGGCAGCTGCTGCTGCTTGCTCTCCCAAGGAATCTACAGAGTGAGGTCTTGGGTGCAGTTGGTTAGAAGGAAGCTTTTTATTCCTTTAGCCCAGGGGAAAGGAGCAAGGCCCTGGATTTTAAACACCCTTTTCATTGCTAAGTGTTTTTTTTTTCCCACAAAGATTTTTCTGAACAGAATTCTTTACCTTTAAAACCCATTCCCTGCTCCCTGTGTGACAACATAGAGCAAAGAACCCCTACTTTTCTGACAGTGTGCTGGGTCAGATTTGGCTCTTTCTTGATGCCTGATGGGCATTTGAATGAGGGAACAGCTCAGGATACCATTGCGGGTAATGCGGGGTGCAGAGGGAGTAGAGCCCTGGCTCGTGCGGCGGCCGTAGTGTGGCTCTAGCCCTTGAGCATGTGCAGGGTTCTGGTCTCCTCCTTCCTGTCAGAATACTGGCTTTTGTTCTCGCTGCTAGCAGTGGGCTCTCCAGTGCGCGCTCCCGCTTTTACTTTTGCTTATTTATGTTCAGTTGTCAGAGAACAGTTGCACATCTTTATGGGACAGTATGTTGGTGCATTTGTGCATTGTGTATTGACCAACCCTGGATACTTAGGTGGGCTGGTATCTCAGACATTTATCATCTCTTTGTGATGAGAACATTCAACAGCTCCCTTCCAGCTATTTTGAATATCCAGTATCCTGTCTGTGTAGTAGAACCCCAGAACTCATCCCCCATCTAGCTGTGACTGTGTCCCCATTAACCATCCTCTTGCCAGTTTTAGTTTGCTGTTTTAATCTGCTGTGGGCTGGGACTGGATTACTGCAGTGGATTATTCTGAAGGATGACATAATTAGATCCTTTGGGGACTTTGCTGTGACTAAAGATTTTCTGAGGCCCTTGAAGCACTTTCTCCCTGTGTCCTAGCTCCGTGGTTATGGCAGCAGGTGAGCAGCCCGGAGAGAGGGAGTGTCACTGTGGGAAGATGAGCCCTGATGACCGGGAAGTGTCTCAACCTGGTACATCCTCCCAATGGCACTGGAGAGACACTTACTGGTGGTCTGTGGACCCTTGAAGGGAAGGAGGGAGGGTTGGTAATGTGGGCTGGGCCAGAGAGCACAGTTACTGGGATTCAAGGCTTTGTTAATACTTGGGTGGGCATTCCCTTTGCTCGTCACCAAAGCTAAACTGCAGCAGCCGATCAATTGCTCGTATTAATAGAGAGGTGAGTCACTGTGGTGATACATGGTCTGTGGATTACAGCTTCTTGGCCAAGTAAAAGCCTGCATGTAAAACAAAAGAGTAAGACTTGGAGAATCTTTCCATTTCAAATATTGATGCATTTCTGCACTCGGGTAAAGACACGGGCTTAGCCATAGTTCATTGATCCACCACACTGGAGCTCTGGGGCGTCCTAGAGAGCAGGTGTAGGGTGTGGCCCAGACCCTGTGGTGCAGCCTCCAGCTGCTCTCGCCCACCTCAGGCCAGGAGCGTGTGTGGCTCTGGTTTGTGCGTCCCCAGCTCCCAGTTCTGCGATTCAGTAGTATCAGTATGGAAATATCGAAGAAGATGTATTCAGCCGTGTCTCAGTGGAGGGGAACCAGGCAGGGATTACCCAAGGGCGCAGAGTGAACCCTGGCATGAGCTCGTGAGCCAGAAGTTTGGTTTTATATCCTAGCAACCTCTGGTTGATACTTCGGGCCAGTTTGGCACGGTGTGAGTGGGTGTTCCAGGTCTTTCCAGAGAATGCTGCTATTTTTGGCGTGCCTCCTTTCCCCTAGATACAACAGGATATGAGGAAAAAGGCAGAAAATCATAGCTTTTTTTTTCAACCTTGAAAGAGAGCCCCACCCCTCCACCTCCAGTTTATAGATGTGAAAACTGAGGGTCAGAGAAAGAGTCCTCGTCCAGACCACAACATTCCTACCTGAGCAAGCTGGGTCTAGAGGCCGGGTTTTCTGACTGTGTGGGAGATTGAGACAGATGAAGATGCACTTAACCTTAAGTATCATCAAAGACAAACTATTTAAAATGGTGAAATATGATTTTTGGCTATCAGATTGGTAATGTCGAGGGAAAATAGTAACACAAGGGACGTTCTAAGCATAGGACAGTGAAAATTACCACCCAGTTAGTTCGCAGGAGAAAATGGTATAATGGTATAACCTGTCCAAGGGGCAGTTTGGCCACATGAAAAGCGTAAAAAGATGAGGTTGTTCTGAGGAAGCAAATCAGCATGTGTGAAGAATTTAGCCACCAAGATATTCTTTATAGAGTAATTTAGATTAAACTGTCAAAAAAAATATGGACCTCTAGAAGAGAGGTCGCTGTAGGTTTGTAGCCATCAAACATAATGTAAATAACGTTGTGTGATTCGCTTTAGACTCCTCCAGCCAAACACTGAAACTCGTAAGCGGAAAGAGGACGGGGGGATAGACATGCACTTTGACGGCAAAATGTCAATCCTGTGAGGCTGAGTGTGTTTGGGGGTTCATTAATCCGTCTTCAGCTCTTTGAAATTTTGCCTAATAAAAGATAATGCTGTAGACAGTTGACTCAGTCTTTCCTGTGGGGATTGTTCTCTCCTGTACTGCACACATTATGAATTGTTGCTGATGTCGCACTTCATTAATTACCATGGAGAAATATTTATGATACACTTGAATAGGGAAGGGCTTCAGGTGGCTATGTGCAGAATGCTCATTTGGTTCAAAAAATAAAATAAACCCATACATAGCAAAAAGGTGGAGTGTGTACACCTAACCGACAGACTGACTGGGTAGAGAGAATGTGTTATGTAGCTTACCCGATTCATTTTCACCTTAGGACAAACATGTTGTTGGGAAAATTTTATAAATGGTTGAGCTTAATTAAATATGTTGTTGTTTTGATCCAGGGAAGAGCATGGAGGAGATTAAGAAGGTGCTGCTGCTGGTGCTGGGTTGTGCTGTGCAGGTAGGGCTTGGGCACATTGGGGGAGATTCTGTCCTTAGCCACCTGCTTTTGGAATTATGGGGCTAAAGGGCACCCTTACATTGGGCGGAAGTGAAGCTACTTTCAGTCCAGCCAGATGGAGGTGCTGGATTGGAAGGAGAGAATGGTCACCTCTTGGGAGGGTGCTGGGGCTGTTTCTAGTACCAGGACACCTTGTGCAAGGCAAGGTACCATCAGCAAATTTTCCTCATTGTGGGAACCTCTTTCCAGAGCAAGGAGATGCAAACCACAGCCTGTGGGTCAGATTTGACTGCCTCCTAGTTATGTAAATAAAGTTTTATTGGAACGCAGCCACGCCCCACCATTTACATATTGGGCTGCTTTCTTAGCAAAGTGACAAGAGTTGAGTAGTTGTGAAGGAGACCAAATGCAGATTGTAAAATGGTGACCTTTTACGGATGGAGTGGGCCTGCCTCTGCCCTGGGGCCAGGCGTTTGCATCCGATGAAGAGCTTGCTTGAAGCACAGACTTCTGCGTCCCACCCCCATGTTTTCCATCTGGGAGAGGCTTCGGGATGGGCTTTGAAAAATAGGCTCCTGTGGGTGTTGGAGCAACTTTGAGAGAAGCCTCAGTCTGAGTGCTGGTTGGGGGACAAGGCGGTCTTGGTTAGGAAGGAGGCCAGGCCTGGGTGGTCATTCGTCTTGCAACTGTGTGACTGAGGCTGTGGGCATAGCCCCAGGTGCACCCTCACTGAAGAATGCTCCCATTGACACTTGTAACCCTTCGCAGTGTGAGAGGAAAGAGGAGTTCATTGAAAGAATCAAACAGCTGGACATTGAGACCCAGGCAGGCATCGTGGCTCACATCCAGGAGGTAGGCACCCCTGGGGAGCTCCGCCGTGGACCCGCTCCTGTGGTGGGCAGGGGACAGCATCTCTGTGGTGACGGAAAAGTTTAAAAACGACATTACCTGCGAATGCTTTCGCTAATTTTAGGTATCACAGACCACCTGCAAATGGATTCTATTTGGAAAGGTAGCCCTCAGCAAGCTAAAATAAAATAGGGATAAAAAAAAAAAATTTAAAAAAAAAATACAATACTTCAATCAAACCATCTTCTGCCTCCTTTTCCTTGCCTTATATGGACTCAGACTATTTTTAAGAGCTGTCGAGTGGTTTAGGCTCAGAATTTGATTTACAGGCCCTGAAAATGTATTCTGGCAAATGTCAGCATGCTCTGAATGGGTTGATCTTTGTGGAGATTCTCTGCTGCTGTCAGTGACACGCAGAGAAACAGGCTGCCCCCTCGTGGGACGTCCAAACCAGCAGGTCCTGGGGGGTGCTGCCCCAGGGAACTGAACCCCAGCCCAACCTCAGGCCCCAGGGGAGACGGGGAGCCAGACCTCACTCTGGACCCCTCTGCCTAAGGTGTGTTCCTCAGGAGTCATGAACCCACCTGAAAAATCGACTTTTATCTTAGACATCTTGTCAGGGTTCAGCACTCAGTGTAATTAGAGATAAATGCATGCAAGAGATACACAGGAGCAGGTGGTGTATATGTCTTTTTTATTTTTATTTTTTTATTTGTTGGTACCGGAAATCGAACACAGGACCTTGCGCTTGCCAGGCAGGTGCTTGTGCCGCTGAGCTATGTCCCCGGCTGGGTGGTGTATAATTGGCAGCTCTTGTAGCCGATGCAGGTGAAGGGGCTGGGACTGGGCTGCCAGCTTCCTCAGCTGGCTGGAGCACTACGGGCTAGCAGGTTCTGAGTCCCCAGTTTGAAGCAGGAGACAGATGCAGTTCATTTCAGGGTAGGGGTTCCAGCAAAGCTGCCCTCCAGGGGGTCAGCACTTCAGTAAATATTCTCCACCATTACTGGCCACCTGTTAGCCTCAGAGGCACTCTGCCTTTCCATTTCCTTGTGGGTCTGATTGGGGGTGAGGTCCTTGAAACTGGTCAGTTCTTTGCCATTCGCTGGCTCTACTGCCTGCCCAGACAGCAGGATGTTGAAATAAATAAATAAGAAGAACACAGCCAGGAGAGTTCTGCGTTATGATGACGTTCAGTAGCTGGCCCTGCGGACAAGTTTCAGAATTTCTTGGGTGCTTTTAAAAGTTCAGGTGCCCAGGACCCAGGAGGGACCTATTTGTTAGAACCAGGGGAAGATGAAAGTGGACCTTCTGTTAAAAGTGCCACAGTGACTGCCCCAGGCGTTTGGTCCCTGAAGACCAGCCGTGGAGGCCCCGAGACTCGATTTCCCAGACCTTGGGTGGAGCAGGCCCGGAACCCGGCCCCTTAACCCTAGCACCCGCCTGTTTGACATGGTGTGAGTTCCTCTAATTCAGGGATCAGCTGTGTCCACACTTGTCCTTTGTCATGTGGGGAGACAGGAAAGAGGGTGGTGTCCTCGGAGGAACTGAAAGGCTCTTGAAATGATCTTGTTGCTTTTGGTGCTTTGGATTTATTTTATTTTTTATTTAAAAAAAAAAAAAAAAAACCTTTCTATCTCCATCTACTGCTCTGAATAATTTAAGAGTTTTTTCTGGAGTGCTTTTCTGAGCAGATACACTCGTTGTTTTGTTTTTGTTTCTCCTCTTTGAGGCCTGAGCACTATACTAGTTCTCTTCCAAAAATGAGATGAGAATTCAACACATCCTCCATTCCTGCTGATGGAAAGGGACAAAGCCAGGTGGTCTTCTGAGGCTTCTGGAAATAAATTATTGGCTTTCCTGAAAATTGCTTTAGAGTTTGAACAGTTCCCCCTGCAGAACCCAGGATGGCTAGGTACTCACCATTCTAATATAGGATGTGCTGGGCGTGGTGACAAGTACCTGTAATGCCGTTATTGGGAAGGCTGAGGCAGGAGGATCTTTGCAAGTTCCAGTCCAGCTTGGGCTACAAAATGAATTCAAGGCCAGCCTGAACTGCATAGTGAAACCCTGTCTCAAAAAGATACAAAACAAAACAAAAAACATAGGGTGCTTAACATTTTATGTTAGATTTTAAGGAATGTTAGCCCTATTTCTTATCCGTTCTAGATGCCAGTCTTCTTTGTGTTCCAAACTAATACAGCTCCAGTGCAAATAAATATCTTATCCTGGGGCTTTTTAGTGGAACAGAGTGGCAGTTGCCTTCTGCTACTAAAGGACTTGCAAGCAGAAATGGCTCATATTTGTGGGGCTCTGCCAAAGAGTTTGCCTAAACTCGTTGCAGGAACTTTTTTGCTCGCTACAGGAAATGTGTCTGCCAATCTGGGATCAGTAATGTCTTGCGAATGAGGCTCTGTCCCATGGCCCAGTGAGGCAGGCTCTGGTCTCTGCCTGGGTCTCCTGCCCAGTGGCCACGGGCAGACGGGCACTCCCAGGGCCGCCTGTGCTGGCCTCTGCAGTGCTGGACTGTGTGCCTGCAGGTGACCCACAACCAGGAGAACGTGTTCGACCTGCAGTGGCTGGAGCTGCCAGACGTGGCCCCGGAGGAGCTGGAGGCCCTGTCCAGGAGCATGGTGTTCCACCTCCGCAGGCTCATCGATGAGCGTGACGAGTGCACCGAGGTGTGCTGTGGCCGGGGGAGGCTGGGACGCTCGCCTCTGTCTCCTCCTCTCTCCGTTTTGGGCCCCAGCGCCTTTCTGTTCCGATGATCAGGCTCTGGTGGGGGTGGGAAATAGGTGCTTTCCTTGGCTGCGGCCTGTGGGGTGAATGGTCACTGCAGAGACATCCACAGGACAGAAATTGTCAGGAGGTCCCTCTTCTACTCAGTCACTTCTTTTTATTCTACTAAATATTTCACCTCTGTTTGAAAATATGCAATTGCCCTTTCATGCCTCACTCCTGGTTTCTGACTCTCAGCAGAAATTTCTTCTCTCTGGGTGGTTTTTCACCCACTTCGAGCTCAGGCACAGTGTGGGGCCCAGGGGTCCCCTCGTGAGCCTGTGTGTCCTCCTCCTTTGCCCCTTGTCTGCCGGCGCAGCTGATCGTGGACCTGACGCAGGAGCGAGACTACCTGCAGGCTCAGCACCCGCCCAGCCCTGTCAAGTCGTCCAGCACCAACTCCACGCCCAGCCCCACCAGCAGCCTCTCCAGCGAGGACAAGCAGCACCTGGCGGTGGAGCTGGCCGACACCAAGGCCAGGCTGCGGCGTGTCAGGCAGGATCTGTGAGTGGCCCGGCTGTTTTTCCCGCTCCTGTGTGTGGGCTGCGGGCCCGTTTCTAGTGTGCGGTCAGCTTGCACGGGTGGTGCCGCAAACAGGAGGACCCTGGTGGGACCCCGACCTGGTGGGGCTGTTGCAGCTTGCTGGGTGACTGAAGACCAGTCCCCACTCCTCTGTGGGCCTGCGTGGTAGGGAGGCTTCTCCCCTGTCTTCTGGCTCCCAAACATTACGGACTGCCTACAGCAGGGACTAGACTGCTGTCCCACCTGGGCCCAGTTTGGGGCTAGGATGGCTGCGTGCAGGGTGTGTTCTTGGGTGGCGTGAGGAGGCACCTTGCCCCACCTGGGGAGCTGGTCCTCTTTCCTGCAGCTGGTGAATGTCATTCACCCATGCCATGGGCAGTTACCTGCCTTCATCTCCGCACCCTTGGCCCCACACAAGCCCAGCTGTGGAGCACTAGAGCTGCAGCCAGGTTCTCCTTCTCCCTGCTCTACACACTTGCAGGGAAACCTGGCTGGCAGGTGGTGGTGGTTTGAGGGCAACTGTTAGAAACCTGAGAAAAGAATTTGGAGTCGAGAACATTTCTACAGGCACCACAGGGATATCCGCTCCCAGGCCCCTGGAGCTTGGGTCCCCTCCTTTCCCCGGAAGTGGAGGCCTGTTTCCAGGGCCTGCAAGGAAGCCCCACCTCACATACGCTCTTCCTCCTAATCACCCCGCAGGGAAGAGAAGACAGAGCAGCTTGTGGACACCAGGCATGAGGTGGACCAGCTGGTGCTGGAGCTGCAGAAGGTCAAGCAGGAGGTGAGCAGGCGCCTGTGCAGGCTGGGATGCCCCAGTGACGGGCCCCAGAGGGTCAGGCATGTCCCACAGAGCTGCCCAAGAGCCCGGGGTCCTGTGAACTCCCCCAGGGTCACACTGTTTCTTAGCGACATCCTCTGGAGAGCCTGCTGGCTAGCGTGCACACAGAGCTCCTCACCCACCAGGAACTGGCTTTTCCTGGGATGTCCCCTCCCCTGCCCAGGGACGCCCAAAACTGTCTGCACTGCTGTCACCTGTCCTGTAGAACATCCAGCTGGCGGCCGACGCCCGGTCCGCCCGTGCCTACCGGGACGAGCTGGACTCGCTGCGGGAGAAGGCAAACCGCGTGGAGAGGCTGGAGATGGAGCTGGTTCGCTGCAAGGAGAAGCTGCACGATGTGGACTTCTACAAGGCCCGCATGGAGGTAGGCGCCCAGGGCCGCCTGCCCGTGGAGGATTGGGAGGAGCCAGAAGCCTGGCACGGTGAATGCTTTCCCTGCCCTGCAGCCTGTCTGGCGGGAGCCCCTGTCTGGGCCTTTCCGTCTTGAAGGTCGGTGTGTGAGGGAAGCAATGTGGCTGGCTGGTGAAAGACAGTGGTTTCTTCTAGGCTTTGCTCGGCTGCTTCATGGAAGTAGAATGGAAGATAGTGAAGCTCTTCCATGTGTGGGTTTGTTTCCAGCCTTCTTGTGATTTCTGGGCTGATTTGCTAGGACTCAGTTTCCTGGCGCAGAAGACTAGGAATGCTAATACTACCAGTTTTAAAGGTGAAAGGGGTGAAATCTTTGGGGAGGAGCTGCGGTAGAGACAGTGGACTTAGTACACTCTCACACAGTGGAAGCTCTGCTAAGAGCTTTTGTTTTGTTATTTCTGTATTTTTTTGAGCCAGGCATTTATTGCCCTGGCTGGTCTTGAACTCCTGGCTCGAGGGACTCTCCTGCCTCAGGCTCGCAAGTACTGGGTCTGCAGGTGCACAGCGCTGCTCCTGGCTCAGTGCAGGTGAAGGACACGGGTTAAACGGAGACCGAGACCCAAGAGAGACCCTTGATGCTTGGACCACTCACCCCAGTGGCGTTGTGTCAGCTGTGGCTTCCAGGACACAGAGTTTGGAGATTTGGTCCCCGCTGCTCATCCCAGAGTTTCGGAAGTGGTGCCGGTCCCGTGTGAACTCTGTTCCACCCAGAAGGGAGCTGGGAGGGACTGGGGCATCCGCACCTGCTGGGGAGACTGGTTTGGTGTAAGGAACAGTCCTGATGTCTTGCGCAGCCAGGTGGTCACTCAGGCAGCTGGTCAGGCCTGGGGAGCACGGTGCGGGCGTCGTGTCCCCCCTGCTGTGGGGCTCCGGTGGTGCCCGGAGGCTGGCGGAGGAGGCTCCCCCAAGTCCCCCGGGAATCGGCTCCTGGCACAGCGCTCCGGTGTGTGTTCTCAGCATTGGGAACAGCCTCCCGCATGGAGAGGGGTTGGAGAAACCTTGTTGAGTGAATTCTGTCCCGCAGTTCACTTTGGGTAGCACTAAATCTGCTGCACTTGTGAGCGCCCGGCTTCTCAGGACACCGCAGAGGCCAAGTTCAGGAGCACAGGCCTGCGCTGGCCGGCTGCCGACCTGAGCACTTAGGCATGTGTTGGAGTTAACTTGGGATGTAGTTTAGAGACCTTGAGATGGGCTGTTTTGCCGTGAAGCCCAGGTGCTGTCTGGGTCCTCAGGGATTTGAGGGGACCTTGTCCTTCAGAGTGTCCAAGTCCTTCAGATCCCACGTGACGAGTAGCCTGGGCCCAGTTAGTGGGCTTGTTGTCAAGGGGCCAGCACTGCCTTCAGGCTGAGGCAGGAGGATCAGTGCGAGTTCGAGACCAGCCTGGGCTACAGAGTAAGCTCAACATGGACTTTGATGGGTCCATGTTTATGTTTGAATGAGTGCATCTAACTTAATATGAAAATTCCGATTCTTTCATAGTATAATAACACACATTTCCATTGTGAGATAAAATAATTTCTAAGCATTGGGCATACTGGCATATATCTGTAACCCAAGCTGTTGGGGAGGCTGAGGCAGAAGGATTGCAAGTTGGAAGTTAGCCTGGGCTCCTTAGTGAGACCTTGTCTCAAAATACAGTTTTTTTGAAAAAGGGTTGTGAGTGTATCTCAGTTGGTAGAGCACTTGACCAGCGTGTTTGAGGCCCTGGGTTCAATCCTTGGTACTGGAAAAAAGGAAAGAAAAGAAATTTGTCAGCGGTGAAAAGCACACAGTAGCATGCAGAAATGTATCTGAGTTTTGAGTTGCCGATGTGCAAACCTTAGAGAAGATCCAAGAACAAGGGTGTTCATTCAGAAAATGAAAATAAAGCTGGGCGTGGTGGCGCATGCCTGTAATCCCAGCACTTGGGAGGCTGAGGCAGGAGGATCGTTTCAAGTTTGAGACCAGCCTGGGCTACAGAGTGAGCTCAAGACCAGCCTGAACTACACAGTGAGACCCTGTCTCAAAAAGACAGAAAGACCAAAAAAAAAATGGGTAGGGAGCGGCTAGATGGATAGGTACATGACAAAGCAAATACAGTACAATGTTGATTGTGGACTCTCAGTGGTATAGACATAGGGATAGCTGGGTGGGGTGCAGTTATTCCGACTTTGGAGTATGTTCTTCATAGTGAACTATGGGTGGTAGAGGATGCCAGGGACATTAACTGTTTTGAATGGGCTCATACCTGGTTGATGACATCAATTTAATTATGAAAGTTAGAAAATATTAATCAGCTTAAAGCTGTCAAACACCTTCCTGAAGTGTTAACCCTTCATTTTTCAAGTTGTGGTCCGAATCAGCCGAAATCAGCTTTTAAAAATGTACATTCCTGGCCCCCGAGACCCTAGGAAGCAGACCCTGGAAATCTGTATTATGTAGGCTCTCTCCCAGCGACCTTCCTTTCTCCCAGGCTGGGACAGCATGCTTTTTTTCTGAAACTCTGTGCTGTGGGCTTCCCCCAGCCTTGGGTGGGGCTTGCAGGACATCTGTGGGTTGGGTGTGACCCTCTGTGGGCCCGGTGTGTGGGTGCTGAGCCCTTCCGGAGGGCAGGGACCCTGTCTTCCCTGACTGTAAGCGTGGAGCCTGTCACACAGCCCCAGGGACTGTAGCACTGTTCAGAGGAGCCCCAGTGCTCTGCAGTAGGGTCTTCTAGTCTGGGGAGAAGGCCAGGGAGGGGCATAGGGTTTGTTTCCTCCAGATTGGAGCCAGTGGTATTGGACATGACGTGCAGGCGAGCAGAACCGGGAGCCTGGCTATGCTCTTGTGCAGCTGTCCCAGGCCCGACACTTCTAGGTCCCGTGGGGAAACAGGGCATGCTCCTAGAGAGTGCCCAGCCTGGCCCTGGGAAACACCCAGTGCAGATCACTGGAGGGTGGGCGTGGTGGTGCTTCATGGGAGGGGATGATAAAGGGCCCAGTCAGGGTGAGGGCGAGGTTAATTTTGGATAGAAAAACATGGGATAAAAATTTGCATAGTTTGTTTAAACTTCTGGCAGCGTTTTTTGGAGTCTCCTGGTCTAGTTTACATAAGAGTTGAAAAGACACAAATAGGAGCAGCATAGGTGTCCCTGGGACAGGAGGAAATGTGAGGTGGGTCCCCGACCGTCCTTGATTTCCCTTTGCAAACAGCAGCCAAGCTCAGGGCCAGAGGGTCAGGCAGAGGGCTGTGGGAGGGAGGCGGCAGAGACATTGCTTGGAAGCCTCTCTTTCCTGTATTTTATGACTGGCTGAAAATTTCTACGGGGCCAAAGGCAGATGCCCAGATGCTGTGTGCATCCCAGGCAGGGCAGACCTCGGTCTTGCCCAGCTCGTGTGGATTGACAGCTTTCTAGCAGCACTGGATTCAAAATAAGCAACCAGAGAGGCCAAGACCCAGCGAGGACAGTCCTGGCTGTGACACCAACCTGCTGGTCTTGGGTGTGTGTGTCCTATCTGTGGAAGGAGGTGGCGTGGTCTGTGTGATGAGCCTGTCCTAGCCAGCTGCTCTTCGCAGGGAGGTGAGAGGCGATAAGGGCCCGTGGACCAGACTGGGCAGTGAGGAGGCAGCCGGAGGGGTGGGGTGGGTTGTTGGCAAGGCACCAGCAATTAGGGCTGGGTCAGTCATCAGTCCCAGGCTGTCTGTCCCCCAAATTAAAGCCACACCTAAGATGACAGCAGGGGATTTGGCCCATCTGGCTCCAGGCAGGCTGCTCCCCTTCACCCCGAGCTTCCCGCAGTTCTCAGGTGCCTGCCACCTTCAGGGGAGAAGGTTCCCCGGGAAGTCATCGCTGTGAGTCCAGTGCTGTAATCCCCAGGCTGGGTCCCTCCCCTGCTTTCCCGGCCTCCCACCGTCTGGATGATACACAGCAACATCCGGGTCAGTGTGTCAAATTCTTTGCCCCTCCAAACCTGACCATGCTGTCTCTACATGGGGGTCTCTGTCCACTTGCTCAGGGGCTTAAGTGGGATTTCAGGCCAGCTCTGTCCTTTCCTTCTCCCAGGCCAGTCCCACCAGCCCTCGTGCCACCCCCTACTCCACCCCGTGTCTCCTGTCCTGGCGTGTCACCATCCAAGGCAGGTAGCTGACGAGTGTGCATGCCCAGCTTCCTGCCGTCCTGGGCTTGCTGGATTATTCCAGTGCCTGCAGGCGGGACGCTGTCCCCAGATTTAAACTGGCCTCGCACATCCCTCCGTCCTGCTGCCGTGTGGCCTTTCCAGCAGCTCGTCCGGCACCTCTGTGCTGCTCCTGGGGTGAAATCACACTCTCCCGCTGGCCTCGCCAGCATGGCCCTTCCCTGTGGCTCCCCTAGGGCCCTGCAGCTTTGCCCAGGTGTTTCCTGGGCCCACTCACCCTCCGCACCCCTTCAGACGCAGGAGTCCCGACCGGGGCCAGGGCAGGGCTGGCAGTGAGCTCTGCTCTGGCCCTGGCCACACGTTTCCTTTAGAAATCCCCTGCTTGCTCCAGGCAGCATCCAGCACATGGTGTCCTCCTGATGTTTTCCTGTCGTCTCTTGAGCAGGCCTGGAGCTCCAGGAAGACAGGGTCTGCACCTTCCTGACTTAGAATCCCCAGTGCCCAGTCATTGTGTTCCCAGGGGCCAGCAGACCACAGTCCATAAGCCAGATCCAGCCCATCTTTGGGTCTTATGAATAAAGTTTTATTGGCACACAGCCACACGCATTTGTTCTCTCTGGGGGCTTTAGTGCGTCCCTCTCAGGGCTGAGTAGTTCTGACGGGACCGTGACCCCAGGAGCTGAAAATGGATGCTGTGGTCCTCAGGTGCTCAGTGCGGCTTTTAAATGAGCAGTAGTGACTATGTGTGTGGAGCCAGGAGCCGTGTGGAGCTCAGCTGAATCATTTCATTTAAGCCTCATGGTGGTTCTGCAGGCCGTGGCAGCCGCAATTACTTCCTCTGCTTTTTGTAGTTAAGAGACTGAAGATGAATTAATAATTCGCCCAGCATCACAGTTGCTAAGCAGGTGGACTGGGATGGAATGCACTGGTGCCTGCAGGGCCCTGACGGCCTGCCAGTGACCCAGCGTGAGCCTCAGCCTCCAGAGTACGGCCCAGGGAAGGGGTCTGGGGGAGCGCGTGACCTGGGGGCACTCAAGTGTGGTGCGTGGGCTGCCCCTGTGGTCCCAAGGAGGGGCCTGGGAAGCACCCCAGCCTCCTGAAGTTCGCACATATCCTAAGCAGGGGTGTTAAAATCTAGGGATTTTTTTTTTTTTTTT